GGATTTGGATTTGGAAGCACCGGAACTGAGTTTGGATCGCAATGCTGATGGCTACCAGCTGGGCCGTGCTAGGTAACCTCCAGGTAACCTCCTAGGTGGCTAGGTAACCTCCAGCGTACCTATCTGAGCAGTTTGGCTCACACATAACTTCACCAGGTCTTGCACACATAAACCCAATCATGTTGGTTCCCATGCCTGCTGTCAGGGGGATTGGGTCACCCTGTACCCCTGAAATCGCTCTGCTGCATCCTGGATTTAATCCAATAGTCAGTTGTGGTTGGTAGGTGCCGCCTAGTAGGCTCCGTCACCCTATGTATGGTGGGGGGGGGGGGCGTACAGTGGTGTTCTGAGCTGTCTCACAATTGTTTGGAGCCCTTTGCCACAGCCTAGCGTTGTGGTCTCAACCCTTCCTGAAAGTCCCCGGGTGGCACAACAAATGGAGAAGCACTCAACGACTAACTGAAAGGTCGGTTGTTCGAACTCACCCAGAAGTCCTGTGAGGGCAGGCAGGGCAATCTTTTTATGAAAGAAAGGCCACAGTTTTGTCAGCTTTACGATGCAGGCACAGGCTCACCCTCTTCTGCCCCGCATATCCACACCTCTGATTCCGCGCCGTCCGTTCACAGTGAAAGAAAATGAAGTGCCAGGAGGTTAATTGTGGCAGTGTGCGTGGAAGCCCAAAGCGGAAGCAAGGGCCCTAATAAGCCCCAGCCTTGGCGTGCTGGGGGCGGGGCGTTGGCTGCCGGGGCAGGAGCTGGGGGTCGTTTGCTGAGAAAATCCACTGTGGGAGAGCTCCAGAGGAAGAGGGGGCAGGAGGAGGAGTGGGGCTGAGGCTCTGACCCTCCTGCGGTCTCTTGCTGGGTGACCTTGGGGAAGCTCCTGTACTTCTCTGAGTCTTAGCTTCTTCCTCTTCTGCAGGAAGGCAGGGCAGGGCAGGGCAGGATGGCTGGCTGGATGACCTGAGACCCAGCATGGTGCACAGAGAATGGGGCTGCTGCATTCAAAGGATGAACTGCCTGTTCAGAGTGTAAAATTCTAGTCCTCATCCTCTCCAGCCCTCTCCGCCCCCATCCTGTCATTTGGGGCCTATAATCAATGAGACGGAAAATGAGAAAGTATCAGGAACCAGTAAAGCATGGAAACCAGCTGGGGCAGTTTCCGCCTGTCTGTCTAGGCACTTCAGCCAACATGCTGGGCAGCCCGCCCGCCTACCTTGGCTGGCTACTGGGCTAGCCCCAGGCGCCCAGGAGAGTAAAGAGAGGGGGGACCATTTCCAATGAGTCAAAATGCCTCAGCTGAAAGAGTGGGGGAACCTATGTGTAGTGACACGGAAAGATGTGCCCAGGATGTATGGCTGAGTCACGGAAGATTGCATCTATAAAACGACTCCATTTCTGTTATTATATGGAAGTGCATGTACTTATTTTTTTTTTAATGAAAAGTCTCCAAATTGCAAATAGCAGTTCTCTCAAGTGTCTGATTATGAGGGAAAATCATCACTTTCTGCTGGATACACGTCTCTCCTTTGCTGGGTGCTTAAAACAAGCACTATTGCTCTTCTAATAAAAAAGATCACTTCGGTATGTATTCTAATGATTCTGATTAAAAAGTAAGAGATGACTTTTATGAGGGCAAGAGCCTCACAGAAGTTGCCAGTGGCAAATGTGCTAGTGGTGTTTGCCTTCAAAGCTACCTCCACTCCGAGTACCTCTCTGGGACAGAGTCGACCCGCCCCCTCTGGTTTCCGAGGCTGTACTCTTTAGGGGAGAACACCTGGTCTGTCCTTCCATGGAGTTGATGGTGAGGCTTGAACTACTGGCCTTCCTGTTCACAGGCGGGCACGTAACCCTTGGACCCCCAGGACTCCATATGTCACAATGCCTCAGGGGCTAAGAAAAAAATGTCAGTGTCTTGGTATTACCCTGGAATTCTCTCCACTCACAGCACAAACGGCCCAAAAGTCAGTGGTATGAACCAGCCAAGAGGCGCCTCGGCAGACACACATGCGTGGTCATCTGCTCCCCGAAGGTTGCACGCAGCCCTGGGAACCCAGTGGAGTTCTCACACCCACGGGGCGGGCAGGGAGTGGTTGACTGCGGCACCGCGGACAGTTGCTGCCTGCTGGTCCAAAGTCAGAGCACAGACTTTTGGTTTTTAAAATGAGAAAGGAACGTACTCTTGGTGAAACTGAGTTGTAAGACCAAACCCATCGATGTGTGGTTGAAGCAGAGAGCTCCTTGGTGCCCCCTGGGAGCCCTGTGGCACCGTGGCTCCACGTTGGGCTGCAACCCACCAGGATTGAACTTTAGAACCAGCAGCTGGAGAACTCAGGAGCGGGACAGGGCTTTCCATCCACCCTCTTAAAGAGTTACAGTCTCGGAAACACACCCAGGTCGTCCTACCCTGGGTCACTCTGAGTTGGCATCCACTCGATGGCAACCCACAGCCCAAAGCATGGCTCAGGGTTGGAGGCTACTGGGGGCTTCCATAGCTTGAGACCCAGCCACATTGGCCAGGTGGTCCAACTGCTCTCCCTCAGAAGGACCCTGCTGCCATCCACTCAGGCCCAGAGGGCCCCCTGCCACTAGGAGGAGCTGTTAGGAATGACTTAGAACCTCTTGGCTTCCCACTCTCTTCTGCAGCCCAGCCCATCCGTGGGGACTCTGTGTCAGTGACTGGAAGGGGCTTGGCCCTGCTGATGAAGGCTGGAGCACCCTGTGAAACAGGGGAGGTCATGGGTGGGGGGTGGGGGTGGCTTGCAGCCTCTCTCTGAATGGTATTTAGCACTGGGGAGAGTGGAGGCTTTGGGAAGGGTCTGGGAGTGCTGGCACAGGCCACTCCTGAGGAAGGGGTTCTATAGGTACCCAGTTCCCTCTCCCACTCCGAGGAATTGGCACAGAGCCTGCGATGGGCTAAACTTGAATTTATTGGTGGCACTGCTGCAGGGTCCTCCCTCTCACTGGGATAGCCCATGGCGCAGCACCAACAGTGGGATGGACAGACAGTGCCCAGCCGGACGCAATGATGCAGGCTCAGAGAGACCAGAGCACAACCACACAGGCACAGGGACACACGGCCACAGCACCAAGAAACACACACACAGACAAAACCACAGGTGAGATAACACTGACAAAGTGCGGGCTTGGGGGCCCCTGCATAGACAGAGCGAGGCCACATGGGGAGGGGGCCCC